TGCCACTGACGATGTTCGCCCCAGGAGGGGGAACAGCGTCGACGTAGGTGCCTGTGGACTTCCAGGAAGCCATCTCTGCATCCATAGCTGCCTGCCAGTGAGAGGAGTAGGGACCCTCTATCGCCTCCGCGTAAGAGCGCGGAGTCGGGATGTCTAGTGCATCCGGGTCTCCCTCAGGGGCTAGCAGTACAGACGCGAGATGAGGTGAAGCGGCGACCAGACACTGGAACTCCTCCTGCCTGTCCTCAAGGACGTCTGTGCCAAGGGCACACTCACCCCCGACGGACGGAGGACAGGCAGACTCAGACTCAGCGACAAGACTAGCAGCGTAGTCTAGACGACAGCGCGCAGCAAAGTCGACGAGCTCAGTGACAAGGGCAGACGCAGCAGAAGACTCGAAAGAAGGGTCAATGACAGCAGTAGCAAGGAGACGCGTGACAGTAGGACTGGCAGCACGAAGAGAGTCCGACTTCGGGTCGGCAAGAGCAGGAAGAGAGGAAGCAGGAGGAGAAGGCAAAGGGGCACGCAGAGGAGCAGTAGACGGACGCAGAGACATCCGGTGCGTGCCAGGGACAGGAGGAGGACGCTGACGCGAACCGCGACCACTAGCGCGCGCAGTAAGAACAGGCGACGCAGGACGAGACGCAGGCTCACGACGCTCAGTAAGACCTCCAGTCGGACCAGCGTAGGGAGAAGGAGCAGGCAAAGGTGAGGCAGGCTGGAGCTGTGACTGTGACGAGACAGGCTATGGACCCTCTAAGGGAGGAGGAGGAGGACCAGGAGAAGGTGTAAGACCAAGAACCTGCTGCAGGAGCGGAACGAAGTACGGCCGGGGCCGCGCGGCGACGCCAGAAACAGCAGGGACAGCACCAGTACCCCCAGCAGGAGTACCCGCTCCAGCAGCACCTCCAGTAGCTCCAGAACCTCCAGCAGCACCACCAGGAGCACCGCCAGTCGGACCTCCAGCGGCAGTCTCAGCGTCAACACTCTCAGCAGCACCAGCTCCAGGAGAACCCTCAGACCCAGCAGCTCCAGCACCCACAGTACGAGCACCGCCGGGACGCTCGGCAGCAGTACCCTCTGCAGCCGAAGAACCTCCAGCACCAGCAGCACGCCTCCAGCGCCTGGCAAACCACTCACGTAGCTCCTGAGGGGAGAGTGGCTCTCGGCGAGACGAAGCACCTCCAGGCGGAGCACCCCCAGTCTCAGCACCCCCAGGCTCAGCACCCCCAGGCTCAGCACCCCCAGGCTCAGCACCTCCAGGCACAGCACCCCCAGGCTCAGCACCCCCAGGCTCAGCACCCCCAGGCTCAGCACCCCCAGGCTCAGCACCCCCAGGCACAGCACCCCCAGGCTCAGCACCTCCAGACCCCGCACCCCCAGGCTCAGCACCCGCAGACGTAGCACCTCCAGTCTCAGCACCCCCAGGCTCAGCTCCCGCAGCCACACCAGAGTCACCAGTGACCTCGACAGGCTCGACCGCGTCTACCTGGGACACACCGGAAGGGGCAGGACCCTGAGGGGGGAGGGGGTCTACCAAGGGGGGACCTGGTACCAAGAAGAGCGGGGGCGGGGGGAGGGACGGAGTGCGGTAGGGGAAGAGGCGGTAGTAGGGTACCGACTCGTCGAACGTGACGTCCTGGGAGGACAGAACACGTCGAGAGGTGGGGTGGTAGAACTGCCACCTAGGGGCGTCGGGGGGGAACCCCAGGAAGACGCACTAGTACCTGAGAGCGCAGACGCACTAGTACCTGAGGGAGCAGTCTCACGAGCACCTGAGAGCACAGACGCACTGGCACCTAGAGCAGAAGCCTCACCGGCACCTGGAGCAGCAGTACCAATGCCCGGGTCGGGCGGGAAACACCGGTAACAGTCACCCTCCTCTCTAATGGTCACAGCATACATGGCAGCAAGGATAGCATCAAAATCAAGATCAAAGATAGCTACACCAGCCCTAGACAGCTCTCCCCAGCGGGGGATCTCCGCGGCCTCCGGGAACTGATGACGCCAAGCGTCCGTCAGGCGGCCAAAGCAGCGCTGGGCGGAGTGGGCACCCCCACACTGCTCTCCAGTGCGGTCGCCAGTGCGGAGAACGTAGGTGCAGGGACCAAAACCCCCACCGCGCTGACGCTGCGTGTACCACTCACGGAGCTGCTGAGGGGTGGGGACGTCGCGAGAACGCTGCTGCTGCTGCTGCTGCTGCTGCTGCTGCTGCTGCTGGCGCTGACCGCCACCAGTGCCGCTCCGCTGCGAAGCTCCACTCCGACCACCTCCACCTCCGCCACCCCCGCCTCCGCCTCCACCGCCCCCGCCTCCACCTCCACCGCCGCCACCTCCGCCACCTCCGCTACCACCGCCACCGCCGCCGCCACTCCCGCCTCCACTGCTGCCACTAGCACCCCCACCCCCGCTACCACCTCCACCGCCACCCCCACTCCCTCCGCCGCCTCCACCTCCACCGCCACCGCCCCCACTGGCCCCACCCGCTCCCTTGCCCCCCTTGCCCTTGCCAGAGCGGCGTCTCCCGCTAGGGGCAGACGCCGCACCGACCGACTCAAGACCAACGAGGTCGGCCGCAGCGGCAGAGGCGACAGAGGGCAGGAGAGGGGAAGGAGAACACCCCTCAAAGATGGGGGCGCGGGGGTCACCTCGAGAGGCTCCTACAGCAACTATGCTCTTCTCTGCTGCAAGGAGGGCCTTCTCGAGGCTGTCGACTGTGAGGGTGGTGGGACAGACCGCGAGGAAGTGGTCCCGGACTACACGAAGGGAGTCAGGGAGGCGAGTGACTAAGAAGTAGAGAGTGATGTACATGGGGGGGGGGGTTCTTGGCGCAGAAGTCAGCAGGAAGCGCAGCGCGGTAGCGAGTGTCACTAGTGCGGAGGTGCGTGATGAGATCAGCGACAGTGAGAAAGGCGGCAAGGTCAGGGAAGAGGAAGGGGAGCATGAGGCGGCTCAGTGCAGCAGTGGCAGGGGAGGAGTAGCGCGCAACTACAGCGTCGTACAAGGTCTGAGCACTCTTGTACTGGCTAAAGTGCGCGCGCTCAGCGGTAGGCAGGTGGCGACGCATAGCAAGACGTGCAGCAGCATCGCGCGTGGCCCACTGAGAGCGAACAGTGGCGTCAGCATCAGCAGCGGGGGCAGGGACGGCGCCAGAGGTGAGGTCAAAGAGAGACAGACCGTCGGCCCTGTCGCACTGTAAAAACAGCTGCAGGTCGTCGAGCCAGACCTCAAAGTCAATGGCTCGACCCTCAGCGTCAAAAGCGAGGACACTGGGTGTAGCCATGACGAGGACAGTGGAGCAGTGCAAGCAGTAGGGGAAGGGTACGCAGTGACAGCAGTGCAGTGCTCACCGGGCAGGGCAGGTCGGGCGGCTCGGGAGGAAGGTTGCCTGGCGACACGGCCGCTAAGCTGCTGGGTGGCTCGGCTCCCGGGCGGCTCGGCTGCTGCTGGGCGGCTCGGCTGCTGCTGGGCGGCTCGGCGGCTGCTGGGCGGCTCGGTGGCTCCGGGCGGCTCGGCTGCTGCTGGGCGGCTCGGCGGCTCCGGGCGGCTCGGCTGCTGCTGGGCGGCTCGGCTGCTGCTGGGCGGCTCGGCGGCTCCTGGGCGGCTCGGCTGCTCCGGGCGGCTCGGCTGCTGCAGTTGGGCGGCTCGGCTGCTGCAGTCGGGTGGCGCGAGAGCAAGGGGCGGCGGGGCCGTTAGTGCTGGGGCGGCGGGGCCGCGAGACCAGGGGCGGCGGGGCCGCGTAGTAGGGGCGGCTGGGGCCGGGAGCGCTTGGGGTGGCGGGGCCGCGAGATCAGGGGCGGCGGGGCCGTGAGTGCTGGGGCGGCGGGGCCGCGAGATCAGGGACGGCGGGGCCGTGAGATCAGGGGCGGCGGGGCCGGGAGCGCTGGGGCGGCGGGGCCGCGTATCAGGGGCAGCGGGGCCGGAAGCGCTGGGGCGGAGGGGCCGCGAGATCAGGGGTGGAGGGGGGGCCGTGAGCGCTGAGGCGGCGGGGCCGTGAGATCAGGGACGGCGGGGCCGCGCGCGCTTGGGCGGCGAGGGCCGCGCTTTCAGGGTCAGCGGGGCCGCGAGATCAGGGGCGACGGGGCCGCGAGATCAGGGGCGGCGGAGCCGCGTGAGGAAGGGCGGCGAGGGCCGCGAGAGCAGGGCGGCGAGGTCGCTAAGGCGGCGCGAGGGCGGGCAGCGGGGCGCGGGCGCTAAGGCGGCGCTCGGGCTGCTAGGGCGGGCGGCTCGCTAAGGCGGCGCTCGGGCCGTTAGGGCAGATCGAAAAAAAAGTAAGAGCAAGGGCCCGGAGCGCGCTCCGGGCAGAAAAAAAAAGGTTCGATGTGGTGGGCCCTAAGCACAGTTCCCACGGGGGAACCTGCTCGATACCATGAGAAAGTTAGAACGAGAATGAAATGACTATGAATGAAGTGAGTACAAATAGGAAACTCTAGTTGGGTTGTACCCCCTATGGGATACCCCACTATAGCCTACACAAATAAGTAAGCTACAATATTCTGACATTGCGCGACACTCCCGAATTGCCTATGGTGATGTAATTTTTCGCGCGCAATATAAGTAGAATTAATCGGCTCAAAACGTTTGAGAAGGTCTGCCCGGAACTGCCGTCAGGAGCTGGACCGCGCATCAACGTTGTCGCGAGACGAATTCTCTCGCCGTCGTACTCCGTCGTCGACCATCCGATCGCTGCGAAATAAATTTCCATCGTCGCGAGCCACCGCCTGACGTCGGATTTTCGATCGCTAGGGTCGAGCGATTCCGGCGAGCGAAGTTTCGGAACCTCGAACTGACGCTGCGACTGCTGCGAAGTCGTCGAAGCAGGAATGTGTCGAAATATGTTTGTCATATTTTATAACTGCTTGTAGTTGTAGTGTAGTTATTGTGCTTTGTAGGTGGTGCACCAACTTTGTTTCCTATGCTATATGTTCCTTGAAACCTATAGTGAAACTCATTCTCCCAACTTCTCTTCCAACTCTCTCGATACTCACCCTAGGAGAAACCTACTCGACACCTAAGTGTCGGTGTGGGGGGGGGGGGGGGGGGGGGGGGGGGGGGCGGTGTGGTGAAAGGGGCCCACCACGGGCCTGGTTGGAGGGCGGAGCCGCGACAAGGGGCGGGACCGCGACGGTCGGGGCGGGGCCGCGACGAGGGGCGGGGCCGCGACGTAGGGCGGGGCCGCTTCGAGGGGCGGGGCCGCGACGTAGGGCGGGGCCGCGTCGAGGGGCGGGGCCGCGACGGTCGGGGCCGCTTCGAGGGGCTGGGCCGCGACGCAGGGCGGGGCCGCGACGTAGGGCAGAAGCCCGCCGCGCGCCTCGGGGCGCACAGCGGGCAAAGAACCGCCGCGCGCCTCGGGGCGCACGGCGGGCAGAAAACCGCCGCGCGCCTCGGGGCGCACGGCGGGAGGAAAAAGTAGCAGCGGAAGCGAGGTGGTAACCCACCCACAGGATCGATCCAAGGGGATCGACCTGCTCTGATAGCATGACAAAAGTTAGAAGAAAGAAAGAGGAATGAACTAGCAGAAATGGGGATACAAATAGCAAACCCTAGAAGGGTTGTACTCGCTATAGAGCACCCCACTACAGGCTAGAACATAAGAATAATATTCTGACAAAAGGGAGAATGGGATAACGGAAAAATATAATAGTGAGAAAATATTATAACGGGGACGTCCTCTCACACCTGAGCCGACGTAGTACCTGAGAGAGCAGACTCACCAGCACCTGGGGCGGCAGACGCAATGGCACCTGGGGTGGCAGACGCACTAGCACCTAGAGCAGCAGTCTCACCAGCACCTAGCGCAGCACCCTCAATGTGGGTGCCAGAGGGGGCTGCAGGGCACGGAAGGACAGTGGAGAAGCTAGCAAGGAGAGGACCCCCAGAGGGGTCTGCTAGGGAGACTGCAACCGGCCAACTAAGCGGCGTAAGAGTGGTGCGGTCTCGAAAGAAGGAGCGGGACACACCCGAGTCCAGGGTGAAGGTGTGGAAGGCCTGAGCCGACGTAGTACCTGAGAGAGCAGACTCACCAGCACCTGGGGCGGCAGACGCAATGGCACCTGGGGTAGCAGACGCACTAGCACCTAGAGCAGCAGTCTCACCAGCACCTAGCGCAGCACCCTCAATGTGGGTGCCAGAGGGGGCTGCAGGGCACGGAAGGACAGTGGAGAAGCTAGCAAGGAGAGGACCCCCAGAGGGGTCTGCTAGAGAGACTGCAACCGGCCAACTAAGCGGCGTAAGAGTGGTGCGGTCTCGAAAGAAGGAGCGGGACACACCCGAGTCCAGGGTGAAGGTGTGGAAGGCCTGAGCCGACGTAGTACCTGAGAGAGCAGACTCACCAGCACCTGGGGCGGCAGACGCAATGGCACCTGGGGTAGCAGACGCACTAGCACCTAGAGCAGCAGTCTCACCAGCACCTAGCGCAGCAGCCTCAATGTGCGGGTCAGGCGGTACACACAGGTAACAGGCACCCTCAACACTATCAGCAACAGCATACATGGCAGCAAGAATAGCATCAAAGTCAAGATCAAAGATAGCAACCCCGGCCTTAGCCAGATCTCCCCAGCGAGGGATCTGTGACGCCTCAGGGAACTGGCGACGCCACGCGTCTGTCAGGCGACCAAAGCAGCGCTGGGTGGAGCGCGGACTCCCGCACTGCTCACCAGTGCGGTCGCCGGTACGGAGAACGTAAGAGCAGGGACCAAAGCCCCCACCGCGCTGGCGTGCAGTGTACCACTCACGAAGCTGCTGAGGGGACAGGGTCACACCACTCCGCTGCTGCTGCTGGCGCTGACCACCACCGGCGCCACTCCTCGACGCAGAGTCGCGACTCGCTCCACCACCGCCGCCTCCGCCGCCGCCGCCGCCTCCGCCGCCTCCGTCACCTCCTCCACCTCCGCCTCCTCCACTACCTCCGCCGCCTCCGCTCCCTCCGCCACCTCCACCGCCTCCGCCGCCTCCACTGCTGCCGCCGCCGCCGCCACCCCCAGCACCACTCCCACCACCACCCCCACTCCCTCCACCGCCTCCACCACTACCTCCACCGCCCCCTCCACCTCCTTCAGTGCCCTTGCCCCCCTTGCCCTTGCCGGTGCGGCGTCTCCCACTCGAGGCAGACGCAGCGCCGACCGACTCGAAACCAACGAGGTCGGCCGCAGCAGCAGAGGCAACAGAGGGCAAGAGGGGGGAGGGAGAACACCCCTCAAAGACGGGGGTGCGAGGGTCACCACGAGAGGCTCCTACAGCGACTATGCTCTTCTCTATTGCTAGGAGGGCCTTCTCGAGGAGGTCAACGGTGAGAGTGGTGGGGCAAACAGAGAGGAAGTGGTCCCTGACTACACGGAGAGAGTCAGGGAGACGGGTGACTATGTAGTAGAGGGTGATGTACATGGGGGGGGGGGGGGGTTCTTGGCGCGGAACTCAGCAGGAAGCGCAGCGCGGTAGCGAGTGTCACTAGTGCTGAGGTGCGTAATGAGGTCAGCAACAGTGGGAAAGGCAGCAAGGTCAGGGAAGAGGTACGGTAGCATGAGGCGGCTCAGTGCAGCAGTGGCAGGGGAAGAGTAGCGTGCAACTACAGCGTCGTACAAGGTCTGAGCACTCTTGTACTGGCTAAAGTGTGCACGCTCAGTGGTCGGTAAGTGGCGGCGCACAGCAAGGCGAGCAGCAGCGTCACGTGTGGCCCACTGTGAGCGAACAGTGGCGTCAGCATCAGCAGCAGGGGCAGGGGAGGCACCAGAAGTGAGGTCAAAAGGGAGAGGCCGTCTTCCCTATCGCAGTGCAGGAAAAGCTGCAGATCATCTACCCATACCTCAAAGTCCACTGCCCGACCCTCAGCGTCAAAGGTGAGAACGCTAGGGGAAGCCATAACAGCAGGAGGCAGGGCAGTGCAGTGGCAGAGACTGTGCTCTTACCAGGTAGGTGGAGCGATCGGGCTGCTCGGCGGCTCGGCTCTCGGGCGACTCGTGTGAGGATCTAGGATCGAGCTCACAGAAGCGAGGCCGGAGTTTGGATGGAAGGTGAGACAGGTTCAAGTTGCGCGTGTCAAGAAGCACCTGATCTCCGACTGCTACTGAGTGATCACGTCGCTGACGATCGGCATACTGCTTCTGGGAGTTCTGCATCGTGGTGAGACGTCGCTGAGTCTTCTCCCATAGCTGCTGCATGGTGGTGACGAAGTCATGTGCGGCTTGGACGTATGCCGGTGTGGTTGGCTGCTGTGGTGTGAGTGGTTCCCGTCCGTAACACAGGAAGAAAGGAGTTTTTCCTGTGGCCGCATGTGATGCGTTGTTGTAAGCGAACTCTAGGGTTGGTAACTGTGTGTCCCAGTGGCTGACGTCGTCCTTGCAAGCTGTGCGCAGTAACTGTTCAACCACTTGATTGAGTCGCTCTGTCTGTCCGTCAGTCTAGGGGTGGTATGCTGAAGACATTGCAAGCTTTGTCCCCAACAGTCCCATGAGCTCCTTCCAGAACTTACTCGTGAATTTGGGGTCTCTGTCTGAGATGAGTGTAGCGGGGATGCCGTGGATGGTGATGATGCGGTCGAAGAAGAGTCGAGCAGTTGCTTCAGCTGTAGCTGTGGCGTTGGTCGGTATGAAGTGACCCATTTTGGAGAACTTATCGATCACCACGAGGATGGAATCATGTCCCCGTGAGGTCGAAGGAAGCCCTGTGATGAAGTCGAGGCTAACGACCTGCCATGGCTGCTCCGGTACGGGTAGAGGCTGAAGTAACCCTGCTTTTTTCTGCTTGCTGCTCTTCATCCGCTGGCACGTGTCGCAAGAGGTGACGAACTGCTGCACGTGTGCTGCCATCCCGGGCCAGTAGTAATACTTCGTTATCCCTGCTAACGTCTTGTTGCTCCCGAAATGTCCCGCGCAAGGTATGTCGTGAAACTCCTCCAATAGGATCTGCCGTAGCGGGGCGTAATTCGGTACCCAAATCTTTCCTGAACCCTTCCTTACAGCTAAGTCTTTCTCCCACTGTAATAGCTTCTTGGTCTGTGCTGTAGCAATCTCTGCGTCCACGGAGTACCCACGTTGGAATAGACCCTTGAGCAGAGGGTTCATCCCGTCGAGCTGGATGCCTGCTACATGTCCGGGGCGGCTCAACGCGTCTGCCTTGTTGTGTAGCCCGGGCTTGTAGACGATGTCGTAGTGGAAGTGAGTTTCCAGGAAGTCCACCCACCGCACCTGTCGTCGTGAGAGTGTCGGCTGTGACTTCAGGTATTTGAGACTGCAGTGGTCAGTATAGACTGTAGTCTTGGCTCCCTCTAGGTAACACCTCCACGCCTTGAAGGCTATGACTATCGCAAAGGCTTCCTTGTCATGAATGGGGTAGTTTAGTTCTGCTCCGTGTAGCTTCTTACTGAGGTAGGCGATGGGCTGCAAACCGCGTCCGTGATCCTGCATCAGTACTGCTCCGACTGCTTGGTCACTAGCGTCTGCTTCCACCACGTAGTCCTTGTCTGGATCCGGCAAGATGAGTACTGGCGCTGTAGTCAGTGCTGTCTGTAGCTGCTCCATGGCTTGCTGATGAAGGGTATCCCATTTGTAGGGCGTATCCTTTTTCAGTAGGTCGGTTAGTGGCGCTGCTATCTTAGCGTACTGCGGCACGAACCTGTTGTAGTAGTTGGCGAAGCCTAGGAACTGCTGTAACTCCTTCACGTTCTCTGGTACTTTCCACTTCTTGACGGCTTCGATCTTCCGTGGGTCCACGTGTACGCCCTCGGCACTCACCATGTGCCCGAGAAAGTGCACCTTCTTCAGGGCGAAGTCGCTCTTTGACAGCTTCACGTAGAACTTGTTTTTCCGCAGGATCTCGAACGCCTTCCGCAGATGCTCCACATGCTCCTTCATGTTCTTGGAGTAGATGAGAATGTCGTCCAGGTACACCACCACGCATTCGTCCAGCAGGGGTCGTAAGATGTGATTCATCTCCGCCTGAAACGTTGCTGGTGCGTTGCAGAGTCCGAACGGCATCACCAAGTATTCGTAGGAGCCGTATCTGGTACGGAACGCTGTCTTGTGGACGGAGTTGTCTGCCATCTTGATCTGCCAGTAGCCCGATCGTAGGTCCAGCTTCGAAAATACTGTTGCTCCACGCAGTTGATCGAGTAGGTCGTCTATGCGCGGTATGGGATATTTGTTTTTGACTGTCTGTTTGTTCAGTGCGCGGTAGTCGATGCACATCCGTAGACTGCCGTCTGGTTTTGGAGTGAAGAGAACTGGTGCGCCGTAGGGAGAGGTGGATGGGCGGATCAGTTGTCTGTCCAGTAGATACTCTATCTGTTTTTTCATGTCTATCAGTTCAGTCGGACTCAGTCGGTATGGTGCACGTGAGACGGGTTTTGCACCTGGTTCCTCCACGATCTCGTGCTCGTGGGTGCGTGCTGGAGGTACGCCTACAGGTAGTGTCAGATTTATATGACATAGTTGCTGTAGGCTGTAGTGGGGTAGCACATATGGGGTACAGGTTTCTAGGGTTGTATTTGTACCCCAATCTTTACTTAGTCATCTCATTCCCGTTCATTACTTTCACATGGTATAGAGCGGGTTCCCTGTGGGAACTTCGCCTAGGGCCCACCGAAGCGCGCCCCGAGGCGCGCGATCTCCTTTTTTTTTTTTTTTTTTTTTTTTTTAGCGAACCCCCGAGTCGTCCTTTCCCTCGCGGCCCCGCTGCCCTTCTCGCGGCCCCACCGCCCTTCAAACGCGGCCCCGCCGCCCTTCCTAGCGGCCCCGCCCACCCTTCGAGCGGCCCCGCCTCTCCTTCGCGGCCCCGCCGTCCAGTCGCGGCCCCGCCGTCCAGTCGCGGCCCCGCCACTACGTCGCGGCTCCGCCGCCCCGTCGCGGCTCCGCCGCCCCGTCGCGGCCCCGCCACCCAGTCGTGGCCCCGCCGCCTCTTCCTCGCGGACCCGCCACTCCGTCGCGGCCCCGCCTCTCCGTCGCGGCCCCGCCGCCCCTTCACGGCCCCGCCGCCTCTTCTCTCGCGGCCCCGCCGCCCCTACTTCAACGGCCCCGCCGCCCTGATCTCGCGGCCCTCGCCGCCCCTAATCTCGCGGCCCCGCCGCCCCAGCGCTCACCGCCCCGCTGCCCCTGATCTCGCGGCCCCGCCGCCCCAGCGCTCTCGGCCCCGCCGCCCCTGATCTCGTGGCCCCGCCGCCCTCAGCGCTCACGGCCCCGCCACCCCTACTACCGCGACACCGCCGCCCCTACTCACGGCCCCGTCGCCCCTGCTCTCACGGCCCCGCCACCCGGTACCGGAGCAGCCGAGCCGCCCCGCCCGAGCCGCCCTGCACCCGAGCCGCCTAGCAGCAGCCGAGCCGCCCAGCAGCAGCCGAGCCGCCCAGCAGCAGCCGAGCCGCCCAGTAGCAGCCGAGCCGCCCAGCAGCAGCCGAGCCGCCCCGCAGCGGCCGTGCCGTCCTGCAACCGTCGAGTCGCCCGACCTGCCCTGCCTGGTGAGCACAGCACTGCTACCGCTTGCCCTTTCCCCACTGCTTGCACTGCTAGTCTGTCGTCATGGCTACCCCCAGTGTCCTAGCTTTTGACGCTGAGGGCAGAGCCATCGACTTTGAGGTCTGGGTCGACGACCTGCAGTTGTTTTTGCAGTGCGATAGGGCAGACGGTCTTTCTCTCTTTGACCTCACCTCTGGCGCCTCTCCTGCTCCTGCTGCTGATGCTGACCCCACTGTTCGCTCTCAGTGGGCCACCCGCGATGCTGCTGCACGTCTTGCTGTGCGTCGCCACTTGCCCACCACTGAGCGCGCGCACTTTAGTCAGTACAAGAGTGCTCAGACCCTGTACGACGCTGTAATTGCGCGCTACTCTTCCCCTGCCACTGCTGCACTGAGCTGTCTCATGCTACCGTACCTCTTTCCTGACCTCACTGCCTTTCCCACTGTCGCTGACCTCATTACGCACCTCCGCACTAGTGACACTCGCTACCGCGCCGCCCTTCCTGCTGAGTTCTGCGCCAAGAACCCCCCCCCCATGTACATCACTCTCTACTACGTAGTAGCACGCCTCCCTGACTCCCTTCGCGTAGTCAGGGACCAATTTCTCTCAGTCTGTCCCACCACCCTCACTGTCGACCTCCTCGAGAAGGCCCTCCTAGCGGCGGAGAAGAGCATCGTCGCTGTAGGAGCTTCTCGTGGTGACCCTCGCACCCCCATCTTTGAGGGGTGCTCTCCTTCCCCCCTGCTGCCCTTTGTTGCCTCTGCTGCTGCTGCCGACCTGCTTGGTCTTGAGTCGGTCGGCGCGGCGTCTGCCCCTAGTGGGAGACGCCGCTCTGGCAAGGGCAAGGGGGGCAAGGGCGCGGGTGGAGCTGGAGGGGGCGGTGGAGGTGGCGGTGGAGGCGGCGGAGGGAGTGGGGGTGGCGGCGGGAGTGGTGGCGGA